ACTGAAAGGATAGTATTATAAAATTGAGGTGTGATTCACCGGCTTAAGAAATTAGCGTTAAGTTCATGGGTCCCCGATTCAAACACTGCCTCACTTATTTCAGCTCACCCAGCCAGAGAGTATCACTAGTGCTTATACACCATACGCGTGGCATCTTTCCTGGTATATGAAAGATTCCACCTTGGTAACAGAGCTTGGAATGAGAGTCACCTCTCTGTCTCAACTTCATTGACTTTGAAAACGCCTTCGACAGCATCAATCGAGAGGTGATTTGACAACTACTTTGCTACCACAAGGTGTCGCCAACAGTTATACATCTCATTCAACAGTTGTATGACAATGCTGTGTGCCAAGTAATGCACAACAGGAAACTCATGGAATCCTTCGAAGTGAAGGCGGGAATTAGACAAGGCTGACTGCTTACTATTTCCAATGATTAATTTCCTGATTGCGGTAGACTGCATAATGCAATAGACTGCGGGCAGTGATGAAACAGGCACAAATGGACCCACACCAAAAACTTGGAGAATCTGAACTTCGGCAATGATATATGTCTGATTTCCCCCAAACTGGAAGATATGCAAGTGAAAACCAACAAGTTGGCCGAAGAAACTTCAAAGACAGGCCTTCAGGTGAACTTAGAGAAAACAGAGGTGATGAAGATTCCTGGCCAACACCAACAGTGACAGCAACAACATCAGACAACAATCAACATAAAGGGGAAAAATCTGAAAGAAGCGACCTTCTTCACCTACCTACCTGGGAAGCATCGCTTAAACTACAGGAGAACGGAGCTGACGAAGATATCAAGGCGAGGATCTAGAAAGCCAGGTAAGCTTTCATTTCTATCAACTCTGTGTGGAGATCAACACTCAGCATTCAGTATGAAAAATAAAATCCGGATTTCCAAATCCAATGTGAAGTCAGTGCTACAATACAGATCAGAGAATTGTCTAATCACGAAGGCCACTTCGAAGAAACTACAGAATTTCATCAATAGCTATCTTCGCTCAATACTACACTAGATCAGATGGCCGGCCAGAAAAGATCAGTAACAGGCGGGCATCTCTGGCAATAATCAACCAACCAGCAGGAACCAATTGTGCAATAAATATGCAGGAAGAAATGGAGGCGGATTGGCCATACTATGAAAAGACTATCAAGTAACATCACTAGACAGGCCGTCGAGTGGAACCCGAATGGGAAGCATCGAGTTGGTCGTCAGTGCAAGGGTGACTTGGAGGAGGTCATGTGGTGAGGAGATGAAAACATGTGGGCAGACTTGGAGCGGGGTGAACACGTTGGCAGAGAACCGAACGCGATGGAGACTTGGGTGGCTGAAGCCCTATGTTCCTCTAGGAATTAATGGAAACAATAATAATACTAAATAATAATTAAATCTGAAGAGATACCAGAAATTATTTACTGTTCCAGCCTACTGTGATCAGGTATATTTACGTGGAGTATCGCTGGCATGGTATAATATGATGTTCAGGACTGAAGCTGTGGTGTTGTTTGACACTGAAGACATTTTCATGAGCATTGCTGTTTTTTTCCATTATTCAAAAATATCCAAACTGGGATAAAATGGCTGTCTAATTTCCCGTGAGTGACATTCACAAGTTACACACAATGCAAGGTGAAAATTCACTGCAGTTTTCTTTACTAACCGAAATTATTTATATCACAATATGTGTTCTATCTTATATCATATGTGACAATCAATAAAAAACATCAATAAATGAATTATCTTATCTATCAGTAATAGACTGATATGATTAGGTGGACACCACCACTTACATCAATCACTAATTCCATGCTGTGATCTTAGTCAAATGGAGTACAACGATGATGAACTCAGCCCCAAACAGGTAAAACAGCTGTCCTTTGTTAACATCACTTCGATTTAGATGACTAGAAAGCCCTACAGGTTTATATGAGTTTTTGTTCAACTACTCGTTTAAAACAACCAGTAGTACATAGAATAATATTCGCTGACCTCAAATTGTTTTACCAATCGATAAAGGCAAGCCAATTTTCACAAAATTGCAACATCTGATCTTTAATTGTGTCAGACTTTTCCAAGCCAAGTGAACTGTAGCCGAGTAGTCTGAGAACGTGCTTAAATTCCAATCACTAGGCTAAGGGACCTAACTCAGCTCCACCCAGTGACATTTGAGCAGTCATCTAGTATCACTAGCCCTCACACACACACATACATACACAATAGATCTGTGGAGATTAGTGCTCATCAGGCCCGGCTGTCTGTTTCAACTCTACAATTCTGACTAATACAGAGGGTATTTTTGAACACTTCGAAATGTAATGTGTATGCTGGAATCTGGTCTAGTGGCCTAATACTGTAATGTTTGGTAAGTTACATTTTATGAAATCATTTTGATCAACAATTGATACAGACTATGTGAACAGTTAGTCGTAGATTTTTTAAAAAACAAAAACAACTCCAAACAGTCAATGCCATGAAGCATTTTAAAATTTGTAAGCAATATTTATCATCCTACTATGTTGATATTCATTGAAACAACTTGATTTAGCCAATCAGAAGAATACCTAAAATAGTTAACCAATCAAATTCCAGCTAAGAATTCAAAACACCAATCTGAATTAAAGTTAACTGAATTTTGACCATTAATTTGATTTTCAAATTAGAGAGAGTTAGTAATTTCCATTTTTCTTATTGACTAGACATCTAGTTAATAGGATATCGATGAAAAATGTATTAGACATATTGGATAGCACCTTATCGTGGTTCATGAAGCGTTACAGTAAACTCAACACGTCAAAACAGTTTCGCTTATTTTCTAGGTAACTTCATCAACAGATATAAATAAAATAGAAAGACTCATTGCCACAGTCAAAAAACAGAAATAAACAACTGTGGAGATGTTAAGATCAGCGTGACATGAATTTATTCCCTTTTCAAATGTCAGTAAGTCGAAGCAGCAGTCTGCTGTTTGCTTTTCATAAGCGAGGTATCGTGATAGCTATCAGTCACTGGGAAAGCTCCTGAACAAATTAGTAGTCCAGTGCTGGCTTACATCTCTGAAAGTCACCTGGCAGACATCAGACAACGAAGAATTAAACACGCCCCAATTGTCTACTGAATAACACTATGATTTACCAACAGTGAAATGAATTCAGTAAGCATCCACTATATTCCATTCTAATCAATATGTGATCTGCTTTCTCCAGTCCAGTCCACCTCAGTAGCCATAGCTGGTAATCCCATTAGTGTAATATTAAAATAATAACTACATTTTCCGATTTCAAATGGACTGATTTTCTTTTTTGATGTCAAGCAATTACATGTATTCCATATGACAAACACAGTTCTATCACTGGTTGTTTCTTGCTCAAGGTTATTCTGTACTGCTCGTGACTGGTTTCTCAGAAAGCTAAGCCATATATCTGCGAATCGTATTTGCCCACGTTAAGTCTGCTGAGATTGGTTGTTGAATCAGCCTTGTTCATATTTTCTCACGGCGAATATCAGCGACATAGAAATTGACGTAAATTAATGTCTACCAGTTGGCTAGCAGCCTGCTCTCACCACAATAGTACTTATAAATTACTTTGGAAAAATACTTTCAATATCATTTTATTATCGTTAATCACCTCTGCTTTTCAGAAGGAGAATAATCTTGATATTTGCGATATGAGCATGGTTTGTAAAATTTGAAATTAGATAATATTTGATTGATTCGTTTGCTTTAAAGGATATCAGTGTTTCGGTGTATTAGCTTGTTTGCGTGTGTGTGTGTGTAAGTCTTTTTTGTGAGTGGATAGTTTCTGAGTGAACTGTCTTTTTCAAGCCTCTTTTTTCGCAATACTGGTAATTATGAGGAGAGGTAAAAAAAATTGTTTTAGCCTGAGTGTGTGTGCCTAAGTGCTAGTATTTTTCCTTCTTCAAGCTGATTAGTTTTTTATAAAAACCGTTCAACACCAACAGTTGAAGTGAAATTCTTGTTCAGTCATGGCGTGTTTTCATTGCTTCATTCAGTTTGTTTTGTTTTATGATTATATGCTCAGTTTTGTTGATCAATCAAGCGAAATGACAAACAAACTTGCTGAAACTTTCATTTAACCGCCAATAGAAATAATCAATTTTAAATAAGACCACCACTGGAATTAGCCAATCAAAACATTGCTGATTAGGACTGACCAATCAGATTTCTTGCGGGAAAAATAAAAGCGTAGAAATAAATCCAAATATGAAAATAAAGGTTCAAACTGACGATGAGTAAATTGATGAACTGATAATTTTCCAGAATTGAATATATTGATCATATCACTGGAGTTGTAAAACAGAGTTTATTGACCACATGAAGGTCGTTTCCTGTGCGACTGTGTTATAATTGTAAAGTTATATGGATTAGATGGAACTGTCGTAGGAGAGAGAGAGAGAGAGAGGGAAGGAAGGAAAAACTTCTCTTGAATTGATATCCTATAAAACGACGCAATAAGTTTTTGTATTATTCAAGTTCCAATTCATATTCACATATTCTACTTTGTTACCTATATTCTCAATAATTTTATTATTGTTAGATGTTGTGGTTACGGGTGTGAATAGGAGGCAACTAGTGGTGTATTACCTCTGGTATATATATATATATATATATATATATATATATATGTCTGTAGACGTGTCCTACATACATTACAGAACATTGTAAATTTAGTTTTAAAACATGTGTGATAATCAGTTACAGTGAATATACAGTCAGCGGTATCCGAGTTTATCTGCTTACACGCTGACTTTTTGTTTGTGTGTGTATGTGTGTGTGGGGTAGTAGGTAGGCGTGGCCAAACTGGAAAACATGTTCTAAACAGTATTAATACTGTCCAAAAGTATATTTATATAAACACGTATATGGTAGTTTTATTTTTGTAGTGATGTTACTTAATTTACTGGTATAATAATTATTTGGAATATTTTCATTTCATTTTGACTTCAATATTTTCTCAATTCTACTTTCCAGCTCCGTTTGGATGATAGTGTATGTTTTACTTATTGTGTGATATGGGCCTTACATTTCCTATAAGCATGAAATAAGCGTGTTTACGAGCTTTGTGTGTCGACGTAGCCGTGCCTGTGTGTGGGTGTGTGTGTGTGGGATGCGCGTGTGTGTCTATCCCACACACACATACACACGCACACACATGAGATCATGCATTTATTTATGAATTCGAATCTTTGTTTGCCTTTTTTTAGATTTTTTAGACGATTACAATTCGATTGTGTCATGTCTTTTCTTATTGATTGGTCGGTTTATGCTTTGACGCCGCTATTGCACTGTGTTTCCTTTCTTTACTCTCTCTGTCTTTTTTACCCTCTACGCATGTGTTGATCCGCGTGGGTGTGTGTGCGTGTGTGTTTCCGAGTGATTTCCTCTGTTGCTTAACAAATTTTTATTAGCTATCTCTGAAGAATGAGAGAAAAAAGAAATCGAAGAATAACTTATCATGTTACTAGACTTGATGAAAATGAAAGTCCTGTTTTGATGTAGACATCAATCGTTAATATGATGCTTTACTAAACAGTTTAGGTGTACCCTCTCTTCATTTGTGTAGCATGTTCACTAATATTTAATATTCAAAATGAATCTGATGTCAGTTGGGGATCAGACTTCAAACTAATAGAATCCTCTAGAAAACCAACACCTGAGAATTAATCTAGAGCTCACTAGTGACCGACTGACTGACTGACTATTACTACTACTGCATGATGAAGTTACTTGAAGTTCTAGTGTGAACCGATAATCAGAGGAATCTATCATTGTTGAGTGTAAGCAGAAATACTCCCTGATGTCATTGGCTGGCAGTTGAACTAGATATGTCGTGAATTGACTGGTCAATGAATTCCACCCAAGTGGCTGGAAGGTCAACAAGTTGACTATTTTACCTGAAGGTCCTGGATTCGATCCCTAACGGTCGGGTAATGGATGTGTATTGACGGAAAGTCGCAAACCAGGACGAAATAGCTGTCTACTGCTTTTTGTTTTTGCATTAATCTCTAACTGAAGTCATTTTCCGCTCCAACGTGATCACACAACAGGATCTATTAAGGATGTGGGATTCACTTGTCTAGATATTCACCAGAAAGGTTAGACAACAACCTAACAAACATCTAGGAGGAAAAGGATGGCCTAGACATACTGTGAGGAGACCATTCAATGATATCATGCTCTAGGCCTTTGAGTGGAACCCGAATAGGAACCGACCAACTGGTCATATGACTCCACGGGTGACATAGAGGAGATCCAGTCAAGAGGAGGAAAGGAAAGCTTATGAGCATTTGTGAAACCAACTATAAAGGACTGTAGGGAACACAGGGAAGTACTGATATGCCTCTGAAGCCCGATATTCCATTCGGGGCTTAAAGACATAGAAAAGACAAGTAAAGTGTACTGCTGAATAATAATAAACCGAATGTCTCCAGTGTAGCAAAGAAACAGAAACTTAAAAATTAACATAAATAAATCAAAAAGAGTACGTCATTCAGTAGTAGCAGGGAACTCTTGATGCGGATTAGACTTGAGACTGTCCTGCTTTTTGGAAATAAATTTGTACTTTTGTTTGATCGAATAGACTTCATAATCTCTACTTAGTTTCTTGTGACCATATATTTCAATTTACTTGTCAATTCCTTGAGTTTATTATCATCATTATTATTCTGCAAAATGAAATAGCGTCGTCGTCAGAAACAGGTTAGTCTTAACAGTATTTTGATGTTCTGTTCAGTCCTTTACCACATGTACATCACGTGCACATCACTAATATTTGTTAAGTGTATGTGTATGTTTTTTCAGTTGATATAGATTATGTCCAATGTTTTACACCTGTTTATAATGTCCACATAGCACTTAATTCCTGAAGGTAATAATATTACCATTTTCTCCCTTGGATCTCAAGGCGGAATACAGTTCTCCGACGACAAGCTGTCTTTTCACTATTTTCTTGAAGTCTTTTGTAGCCAGCTCCACATTTGCTCGTAGGCTATCATCTCTTCCATGTTACCTCCGGAGTCACACTCAACTCATGGTTTCCCATTCTGGTTCCACTGGCGGGCCTGGCGGTTGATGTTACCGCTTAACGGTCTTTTCAGTGTATGTTCAATCCATGATCATCTCTCTCTCTCTGCATACTTGTCAGGTTGCAGGTTGTTGGCTCGTCCACTACCTTCCAAAGTTCCTTGTTTTTTTTTGTCATTTCCGACCAGCAATGTAATCTTCAGTGTCATCAAGTGAATAAGTCTTCAGTAACCTGATGGGAATACTTTCGCCGACGTGCATATCATTGGTGATAGTAGGCAGCTTTGTCCCACTTATGCCTTCATTTAAAAAGTTCCTCTAAAGTTTCCTCTGAGAATTATTTGAAAGCTGATGAGGCAGGTTAGTGAAGATTTCAAGCACTCTGGAGTGTTGAAGCCATAATCCTTAGTATAGACATGTTTAGCTAAGTGACAACTTGTTCAAATAAGAGTATGGAACTCTAGCTACCAGATTTAAGGAAATGGATTTTGGTTGGTAAAAATATCTCATGTTAATTAACGATTGTTTAGACGTTACACTTGTTAGGATTTTGTTCTTCTTGGTATTTAGCACGAGAGTTTATCCACAACGCTGAAGGAGCATATGTTCATTGGAAAACTCAAATCAATAGTATTCGTTGCTACGATCAATGAACATTATACTTTTCAGGTACCAAAATATTTTGTTACCTTATGTGATGGCAGTATCATAGGCATGAGTAGTTGTTTCTCGAAAACGAATTGAGGATCTGATATCTTTTCAGTGATGATCACCTATTCACTGAATCATCTTCTATCTCAAATGCTTTTTGAGTTGAAAAAGTTCGACACGTAAATTTGATGAGTTTGTAGAGAACCACATACTACTGATTGATTGAGATAAGTAGTTGTATGCTACTTATATGTGCGTTGGTGGCACAGCGGTTAGGACTCTCACCGACTGCCCGCATGATTCGGGAGTTCGATCCCCTCCCAAAGCACACCTGATATCAAAGGTTGGCTACCGATTATACACACTGAAAATTCCATACTTGTACCAAAAATACGGTGTGGAATCAAGCTTTAATAAAAATAAATAAATAAATAGTGCTTGCCAGAAAAACTGAGGTGATCTAAACACCCGATGTCCGTTCCACTCGTTTACAGCAAAGATCATTAGCAGTAAAATTAATTCGACTTAGCCTAGCTGAGCTGAATCAGTGTTCAAACCACCTGGCTGGTCAGCTACTTGGATGAACTGGTGGCACCATAAATCAAGTTCACAATTTGTAATGTACACAGTTTAAGCGATGACATTTTACTGTAGTTTCCTTTAAAAATCAAATCATTCAGATCACACCATGTGATCTGTCTGACACCATAAATGGTGATCAATAAAGCAAGTAAATTTGCATAAAACTCTGTCTGTCTGTTTTAAACATTGATCTTTGCACCGATATGCAGCAGTTCAAGTCACCACACTCCATGTAGAACGCAAAGCAACAGAGGAAAGTAAAAAGAAATGCGAAATAGAGATAGTAGACAAGTATATGAGGCAAAAAGAATAGTAATATCGAAGAACAATATAGTTTTATTGAAGATATTATAAGGAACAAGAAGTAGATGCATCTGCGCTAGCTACTGAGAACTATTTTGAGCCATATCACGGATTGTCTCCAGCTTCCGTTAGTGTTTACCGTCCCGAGGAACCCAATCAGTCAGTCAGGAAGTCTACATCTTTCTACGTGGCTGGCTTAAACTAAGTTTTGTGGATTTCACTGACTGGTGTCATGTTTTGTACCGATAGCCTCTAGCTCTTTTCCAATCTGACCCTATATAAGTTAAGATTGCCCTTCGAGGAAGCGGTGATGACTAGGCATGCATTCGTAACACATGTCCTAACCATCTTAGTCTATGTAACTTCACAGCCTCGTCGATTGATTTTGCATGAAACTATATACTATATAAACGTTATAATAGAAAAACAACGTCACAAGGGCATCTTAACTGGAAGATTGTATGACTATGGTCTTATTTCACAGTTACTGCTTACAATACATAAAGAGAAACCTGCATTCTCCTATAGAGATGGGTATATCAGTTGTCCAGTGTGGAATCTCCCCTAAAAGGTACAGGAATATCACCCTACATAATTACAAAGAAGTGAAAGTAGTAACTCTAAGCCCAAAGAAAGACAAAGTCGAAACTACCCATCACACGGCGTAAAATAAACAACAACAACAACAACAAAAAGACACCATAACGGCTGAAACTTCATGATTCCTTAAGGACCCATATTTTATTTAGTCAAAACAAGATTTCGATAGCTGAATAAATTCCATTTAGTAGAGTCCAGTGAAGTTCATCTCTTCCTTTTGTAAAATCCGATGGCTATTTCAAAATTACACCTTTGCACATGGAAAAGTGTACATACACTGAACTTTACTGAAGAAATATTCGTGTTGAGCTTTTCGGTTTTATTTTTTTTTTTCAAATTTAAGTTGTTTCTTTCCTTCCTTTTGTTTTTCCAAAAATACTTCACTGGCTGGCTTGTTCCCTGCCTACTTTTTATTGCATGTGATATTTCTGAGTGATGAATGAATCACCTTGAGTTGAGACTGAGGAAGAGAAATGTTCCTCTACTGCAATATTTCTATTCCCTTCCTGATATATTGTTTGTTTTTGATCAAGTTGAATTTATTTTTTTCTTACAAATACTTGATGTATTTCAGTGCAACAAGGTGGTATCACATTTTGATAGATACACAAAAAACACACAGACATGATCACATACACACACACATAAGACAATAATAACACCCTCGATATTTGATCTATGTTCACTTCTGCATACTTAATTGAAGCGTTTATGCAGATTGGATTATTTTCACTTTAATTTTCAGCACAAACCAATCTACGTCAGCTGGAGATTCATTGAAAACCTAAGAGAATGGAGTAGATGGTTAACCTTACTTTTGTATTATTCATCTTTACAAAAGAGTCCTAAGTAGTACGATGCATCATTAGGTTTGAACACCAACACTGGAATAGGGTATGACTGTCCATCCCATTGGATAGTCTGTTATGGTCAGCTGAGTTCAATTCATTCACTGACCTATGAAATAACATTCTCTCTGGATGACGTAATGATTAAATGTATGACCCATAATGCAGTTGTAATTCGACAGTGCTGAAGATGCCCAGGCAGGGATGAAACGACTCCCCAACACGGTCCAAAGGTTTCACTAGAAATTGCTTACATAACTACATTGACCATAAAAGCCAGCGAATACTGAAAGGTTGTTTCGTTCAGGTTTGGAATTCATTGGTAGTAAGCATACACTGAGGTTCGTACCCATGACATTCCGGTTACAAGGTGAGCTCGCTGATCATTCAGTCACTAGGACCTGACTCAACAATTCATTTATTTCAACTTCTACCAATTCATGATTTTCACGAAACCACCGGCCACTGTTAACCGTGGTGACTATTTGTCCTGGTTACGATTTCTCACTAGAACTCTAGGCAGTTTCGTCCTGTAGTCAGCCATTAGCGAGCATCAGATTAATCATAAAGAGTTAGTGTGTAAAAGTTAGAATTCATGAGTTATTGGATCAGGTCCCAGTTTCTAATTGGTCTACAAGCTCGCCTTATAACCGGAAGGTCCTGAGTTCAGCCACCTGTGGTTAGTGACTACTACTGATAAGTGACAAACTAAGGTGAAATAGCTGTCCAGTCCACGCTGCTGGTTTATTTAACGGTTCTCAATCCTTGATAAAACTTGGAATAAATAGCAAAACGAAGAATAGAGTAAAGTGAGTTACGTACCGATAGATAAAACAATAAAGAATGTCTGAACAGAACATGAGATATCTGAAACATACATAACTTAATAAAAGTTGTATAACTTCGTTCTATAAACGTATAATCACAAAGGTAGTAGTAGTAGTAGTGCAAGATTGCCTACTATCCCCTTTCTGTGGGCATAAATTTAGTATTCAGAAAGTTAAACATCCGTTTAGTATAATAAGAACAAGATGATTCTCAGTGAACAATTGGTTTTCGATAACTTCTTCCACACACACCCCTGCTACACAGTTATATAAATCTATGTATATTAGAATATAAATAGCACAAGCAAAAGGCGAATGAAAATTATATCAGAAACTGTATTGTAGGATTGGAATGACAGTTTGTTAGTTAATATTGTCAATTGAATGTAATATAAAATGTACAGTCCTCCAGAATAGTCGACAGAATTTAAATTAATTTTGGCCAGCTGATCACGGTTTGGTATCAGTTAAGGAGCCATTGAAAATCAGCACTGCAGTACTGGATAGCTGTTTCATCCTAGTTTGGGAATTATGGGCGGTACGCACCCACTGCACCAGAGTTCGAACCCAGGACCTTCCGGTTACAAGTCCAGCTACTTCATATACCAGTCAACCACTGGGACCTGAGTCAATAGCCAGCCGATGAATTTCAACTTCTACCCCAATTCATGATTTATAGTGACCACCAACCAATGTCAACCGGTGGGGCATTCCTCCTCACACTTGACTGGATGAACTTCACTGGTCATGGCTTCTTACTAGAACTCTAGGAAACTCCGTCGTGTAGTAAGTCACTCACTAGCGAGCATCAGATTAATTTCAATATAGTTGGTTTGTGCGTCTGTGGCACAGTGGTTAGGACTCTCGCCGACCATGCACATGGTCCGGGGTTCGAGCCCACGCCGACGCACACCTGATATCTATGGTCGGCCTGAGAATTTTGGGCTACCGATATCCATGCTGAAAATTCCACACTTGTACCAAAAATACGGTGTGGAATCAAGCTGTAATCAAAAATAAAAATAAAAAAAATAAACAAATCTAATCCTTACAAACCAACTATTGAAACTATAATTCATCTCAGTAAGTTTCATTGCGAGTAATGAATAATATTCACTGGTGTGTGAGAGAGAGAGAGAGATATGATTACTACGAAATACATACAATCACATACGAACAAAATGAGGAACACTGAATGTAACTCCAAGCAAAGGCTGACAGATATCAAGTGTAGATGACAAAAATAAAGAGGTTAAATTGTGAACTATAATAGAATACCAGATATATAATAAGCTTAGTGTAAATTATAAAATGTTTGTCATATATAATACGGATAATAATGGAGTGAAGTAAACTATGTGTAAAGGAATACAAAAGACAGAATATAATATATGGATGATCACGTCCCAGCTGACTGACTACCTTACAGTAGGCCAAGGTAAACAATCAGAATGGTTGTTCTCCTTTTGCATACACACATCAGGTTCTTCTCAACAATATTCACAGCTTCAATTTCAGTTGTATAACTATCCTCACCACAACCATCGAAACTTACATTCTGTTGACCACAAGTACATTAGTATGTTACCCAGTTGTCTATTCTGGAGGACTGTACATTTTATATTACATTCAATTGACAATATTAACTAACAAACTGTCAATCCATCTAATACATATACCCCGACAATACAGTTTCTGATATAATTTTCATTCGCCTTTTGCTTGTGCTGTTTGTATTCTAATATTCATAGATTTATATAACTGTGTAGCAGGGTGTGTGTGGAAGAAATTATCGAAAACTAACTGTTCTCTCAGAGTCATCTTGTTCCGATTACATTTGATTTTAACTGTGTCAGTAAAATACACACCAAGCTTGGTTTTTAATTACCTATTGATTATTTTCAGCGCCTTCCAACTGTCTACAATATCATCAAGAATATTCGTGTGTATATAGTAAATTCTTTCAAATCTTAATATCTTACATCATTTTGAACTTATGTTACTTATTATTATTATTTCCTATCACTTACCCCTTCTCGTCGTCGAGTAGAATGTTCAGTTCTTCAGAGCTTTTGTATTTAGCCTGTATATTATTGTCTTCTTCTGGTTATAGTCAGTTGGGAGAATTCCTTGAGCTCATGCTATTCTAATCCATTTACCGTTGTTCTTCTTCCTTTATTCAAGAAGAATATGCTTTAACTCTGTTGACTTTCCTGTCATTGTTACGCAATCATGTATATATATATTTCTCTATTTTCTCATTATAACTTAGGCAACTGTGAAACCATTGACAGATGTACAAGTTGAAGCATTACAACGTGCATTTAATAAAGTTGCTGGTGATGACGGGGAAATTGATGCTGATGAATTACGTGATATATTGAATTGTGCATTTACACGAGGTAAGATAAAACTGTATATTTTTAGTAAAGTAAATTAAAGTTTTACTTAATTTCTTTTGAGTTCCGAGTGTCATATACAGAAGGCTTAAGTAGTACATCTTCATTCCACTCAGTTTGTCTTTAGCAGTCTTCTTTCTTCTCCAATGGATGAGCTTTATTTGTATGAACTTAGTATTAGACTATTGTAACTTTCCTTTTTTTTCAAGTTGAATATTAGTTCCAACTGTATGAAAGTCTGTTCGATACTATCAGTGGCATCATCAGAACTACGCCTTCATTGTGTGCTCTTGTTTGTCGTCTAGGTGACCAGGGTAGATTACTGACTCACCAGATAACAATCTCGACAGTTCATATTCATTTTATCTGCTCTCACATATTCCTACCTCTTCCATACTATATATATCCTAATTTCGTTTGCAATGTGAGAAGCCTTGCTAGCCAACTTTGAACATCGTGAGGACATTGTATGTTGTGTCATGCTTAGTTTTCCTTTCATTGAAAGAAAACACATCGGCTGACCTATTTCCTGAAGGCTTTCACCAGCCTGTGTCATTTAGTCTATCCGATTCCAACACACAAAGAGTTTTTTTTAAAATAATTTTTACTGCACTTTGAAGTTTGCTTAGTGACTAGATTAATCTTACTGCAAAAAGGTTGTCAGCTTCATCCCCAATTGGACACTGTGAGAAAGTATAATCCCATAATGGAATAATTTAATTGATTGTTTGAAAATTTTCTTAGTAATGGAATGAATTATGTTAACTGTAATGACACATGAAACGGAAGCATATAAGTATTCAAAGACTTTAAAACAATTAGTCCCTTTTATAATAATAACGCTATTCAAAGACTGGCGTTTTAAGTTGCCCTGTTTTGAAACAGTATTAGGAAAAAATGCAGTAGATAGACATCAGCTGGAGATTTGGGAATATGTCCGAATTCCGAAGATGATAAACAATAAATACGTCTTACCCAAGGCGTCTTAACCAGGCATTAAAATGGACCCACACAAAAAACCTGGAGGATCTGGACTTCGCCCATGATGATATATGTCTGATTCCCCATAAACTGGAAGATATGCAAGTGAAAAGCAACAAGTTGGCGATAGAAAAAGCTTCAAAGATAGGAATTCAATTTAGGTGATCAGAGAGAAAACAGAGGTAGGTGATGACGATTCCTGGCCAACAACAGACAACAGACAACAACCAGCATAAATGGGAGAAATCTGAAAGAAGCAAGCTCATTTACCCACCTTCCTACCTGGAAAGCATCGTTTAAACCCCAGGAGAACAGAACTGATGAGGTCGACCAGAAAAGATCAGCTACAGGTAGGGATCTCTGGCAATAAACCAACCAACCAGCAAGAACCATTTGTGTAACAAATATGCAAGAAGAAATGGAGGGGGATTGGTGATACTGTGAGAGGACCATCAAGTAATATCACTAAACAGGCCCTCGAGTGGAACCCGGATGAAAAGCGGTGAGTTGGAGGAGGTCATGAGAAGAGGAGATGAAATCATGTGGGTAGACGTGGAGCCAAGAAATGAAAACATTAGCAGAGAGCCGAACGCAATGAAGACGTGCAGCTGAAGCCATATGCTCCTCTAGAAATTAAAGGAAACAATAAAAAATAATATAATATAATAATGATATATCGTCTAATGTGTAGCCAGCTAAGAATCAATCTATTGACTAATATTTATGCTGAGGAAAGTGGAGACGGACTGGATATACTCTGAGAAAACCTATGAGCAATATCACACTTTAGGTCTCCGAGTTCAACTCCAATAGGAAGCTATAAGTTGGGCATCTGAGAATGAAATGCGAAACATCACGTGAAGAAGAAATGAAACTTTGTGAGTAGTATGGGAGCCAGCTTAAAGGTACGTCTGAGGACTGAGTTCAACGCAGATCTACCTCTGAAGTACCCCGTTCCACTAGTGTACAACCCAGTTATTAGAGGGTAAACGATAGCGACGATCAAAGGAAAATTAAATAGTACAACAAATATAAGGAAGAATAACAGATCATATTTGTCTGTAGTGTTGAAGGTTACTTCGTTTAATTCAGTAATGAGAATGAACATCATAAATGAATATCACAGAAGTTTAGCAAACTCTTACAGCTATCACTAAAGCCTCAAACAACAACAGTATGATGATTATCTTTAGATCTGGCATTCTTGACATTTCCTACTGTAACAACAGAAGACAAGGGCCAGGCAACAGATCGTTTTATTGTGAAAATCAACACGTATTTATACATATTTCACATTCATTATTATAGACAAGCGCAGTCATCTGATTGGTTGTTTATCAGAAGTTAGGCAGACAAACGCAGGCTTCTGATTGGTTGTTTCGGGATTCCTTGACAAATAGAGTTCTCTATCTGCGAATCATATTTTGCCACGTTAACTTTGCTGTGATTGGTTGTTGACTCAGCCTTGTTCATATTTTCTCACGGCCCATATTAACGTAGCTTAGTGTCAACCAATCGGCTAGCAGCCTGCTCTCACCACACTACTGATAATAATTCAAAATCATTACCATTTGAGATGCTGACTAAGAAGGGAGGGAACGGCTAACTTTAGGTCGATAGAGATATAGTCAGAAAGCACTAACTTAACACGCAACTTGCTTTCTTTTGATATTATAGTTGTTCATAGGACAAGTTTTTGAGACAGTATACCTCAAGTGAATCATTGCAGGGGATCACTTGGTTCATTAATCAAGGATAAACTTCTTGGTTATGATCTAGTTACTTCTTGTTGAAATAAGTTAAGGTGTACTCAGTCAACATAAAGTGTATCCTTTAGCCTATTAATTCAGAAAAATATGGACGGGACCTTTACTTCATTATTTGAAACATTTGAGAATAATATTAGACGTATTTTGTGTTTAATAGCACTTGTCAGCAAGGCGTACCTGACACCACAAGTGGAGTTGATGTCCCCCTCTCCGCGGGGATTGGAATTCATGTTACTTATTATTGCAGTGCGTTAGAGGTTCAGTAGTAGAATGCTCACCAACTACAGACACATTTCAGGGTTCGATTCCTGACTAGTGTACTCCTGGAACTCGTCTAGTTTACTAACCAACAGTAAGTTTGGGAAAGAGAGGAAGTTGGGCGTGTGGCTAGAAAACTCACCTAGTAAAAACAACACCTTGGTTGCTGAAACCTCAAGTCTGGGGTTCTATATATCACTCGAATCATAAGGGAATGAATATATATATATATATCGCTGCAATGGGACACTCTGTTTATTAATGAAGCTGACGATTCACCTGTTGATCTCCTATTAGTATAAAGCCTATGAAGTACATTTCGTTAGTCAGGACACTGTTAAAGTCACTTACTTATTGTGGAATCTTAAATAAACTCTTTATAAACTCATCTATGTACACCAGTCACGCGGTCATTATTCACTATGTAGAGTAATTAGTTAATTAAATGAATAACTTAACTACTACTGAATAGCTCTTATTTTTAATTTGATATTTAAAAAAAGACTCTAAAAGGCGTTACCATGGTATCTAATTAATAAAAAAAGACCTGATTATAAATTAATTATCATTATTATCTTTTTTTTTACTTTACACTGGAAAGTACTTTTTTATAAAAGAATTATTTGTATATATTTGTGATGAAAATGATAATAATAAAAATAATAATATTGTTAGGACAATTGTTGGTTGTCATTAGAAACCGGTTGACATGTACTGTTCTTTTTGAGATTCGTTATCTTTGAATGTATTTGCATTCCCAATTGAGTGATAGTGTTTTCAACGGGACTTAAACTCGTTGACAATCTTTAAAAATGTCACAAGTGCCAGCCTCACTCCAAGACTTTCCTTTTTATTATAATTGTTATTGTTCCTTTGGGTTCCTAGTGGAACATAGGGCTTCAACTGCACGTCTCCACTTGCCACTTGCTTCTGTCTTCTGCTGTACTTTTCACCTGCATCATCCATGTTAGTTAGTCTATGGTGTGTTTCAACTCCTCTTCACACGATCTCCTCCTCCATGTCACCCTTGCACTAACGTCCCACTCGCTGCGTGCTTCCCTTTTGGCCTGGTTCCACTCGAGCGATGGCCTGACGCGCGAGCGATGTCACCCAGCGGCCCGGCCTCCTCAGCGAGTAGTGTCCAATCCATCTCAATCCACTTTCTCCTGCATATTTGCTGCTGTTGGGCGATCGGTTTGTTCTTGTTTTGTTTGTTCCCATAGTTTCTTGTTGGTGGTGATTCTTTCCGGTCCGGCCATCCGATTCATCTTCAGTATAGATCAAGCGAAGACAGTTTTTGATTGATAAAGGTCTGCAACAGACTGTTGGTAATATTCTCTGTGACCCGCCCGCCAAGTTTCTGATCCGTATAGAAGAACTGACTTGACGTTGTTTGTATTGAAAATACGACTGGATTTTGTTGTTGATGCTGGCTGAGTGATGAAGATTTCCAGATTGGTTTCATTTGGTTGATGAATGCGTTTCTAGTCCTTCACCCAATTCTCGCTTGATTTGACATCCTCGTCCGTTCCGACTTCCTGTAGTTGAGACAATGCTCCCCAGATAAATGAATGAAGTAACCTCTTTCAAATCCCTCCCGTTGATGGTGATTGGCGCTGGACTTTGCTGCTGTTGTTGTTGTTGTTGGTTATTTTCATAACCTCCGTCTTATCTATGTTCACCTGGAGTCCTGTCTTCACCGGCTGCATTTTCGACCAGTTTGTCGGTCGGTTTTCGCTTGTAAGTCTTCGATTTTGTGTGACATCAAGCATAGACCATCCACGCGTGAAATCCAGGTCTTGTAGGTTCTTCACGTCGGTCGGTCCAGGATATCCCTGTCTTCTCGTTTCCCACTCACTGTCTGACGCATAATCCAGTCCACCACAATTAGGAATATCATTTGGTGATAATAAGCCAGCATCCTTGTTTGACTCCTGTGTTTACTCCAAACGCCTCACTGAGTTTTCCGTTGTGGATCACTTGACATGTTCCGTTGTCATACAGCTGTTGATGAATAAGGTTGATGAATATTTGGGGTATGTCGTAGTACTCGATTAGTTTCCTTTTTAACTGGAGTTGAAACTGACTAAGGGAGATAAAGGTGCCCACCGACTGGGAGAGAGACCATGCGCATAGCTGGCGAGCACTTTACCCCCGGACCACTGATGTACTGGTTTTAATCAATTTTATGATAATTTATCCAGAAACTAATGACATCCATTCAGTATTCAACGTCAGAATAATTAGGTGGTCAATCACTTTTCTGTTAATTATTATCCTAACTCTGTGAGCACGATTTCACTATTTTTTCCTTATCTTCAGACCTCTGCATTATCTATAAACTTACAGTAATTTCAGAAATAAATAAATGAGTGTTTTTCGAATTCAAATTTCGAAAACACCTTTAGTTTAATCTCATATAAAGCAATAAATACAATTGTTGAGAAAGAAATAATGGTTATGTGTAAAGGTGGTTGATTTTTCTCGTAAAAATTGTTATCACATTTGAATATGTGCGTCACTGCCCGGGGTTTTAAAATCCCAGCTCAGTAATATAATCAGCCCCCTGCACCAACACACACATATATATATAACAAGTGTGACTCACAGACTGGAATATGTGAAACCTAATCTGAGTAATTGACTTTTAACTATCATTTAAGTGAGTTGAAGTCGCTTCATGCATGGTTGTCGGTTGAAGACAGTTTTCCGATTTCCTAGCACTAGAGCCTGCTGCTACTACCGCCACTGTAATGTCTCCAGTAAACGTCATTCCTGGATTACATACATTACACAAAGATGAAGTCACTACAGATTCCATCGACTTAAATTCAACTATTTTGAAAAGAAGCTTTATTCACTATTCTCTCTCTACCTATATCATCCTGAACATCATTTTTTGTGTACCCATGTATTTCTCACTTGTAAATGCGTTAATTATTGTTAACCGTATTTAATCTTTTACTATTTTTTGGACTATTTATTGAAAACAAACGTAAAAATTAGGAGATGCATTTGAATGTAAGCCAATAAGTAGATGTGTTTGGCTAGATTTTGTATTGAGCAGTATTTTCTCCCGGGTTTGTTCTACGTTATTTCATTTGTGTTCCTTATAGAATTTCATTGTTATGTTTTTGTCTTTTTACGTAGTTCCCAATATTATATGTTTGTTTGTGTTTTATTGGTTTTAAATTTGCATTTCATGATGATTTTCTTCTCCGTAGAATTTAATTTTGATTTGCGCGCGGATTAAATGTTTTATAGATTTTGATGTATTTAAACAAAAATGCTCTTTGAGTGTACCCTAGAATATAATTTTTTACGGATAAATTTTATACTGATAAATTGGATTTTTGTAGTTCATTATTAATTTATTATTATTATTATTCTAAGCAGTTAATTAGTGTTAGTTTGTTTTACTGACAACGTTTTGTTAAAACCAACTTAATGTAGAGCTATCACTAAGATGATGAGTCAAAGTAATTTAAAACTATCTGGTTTTGTTTTAATTGCGATTGATGTGTTTGTTGCAACAATATTCAACTAGTCAGTAAAATGTTGAAATACTGAAGAAGACTAGTAGCTCAGATAGTTGATTTCCGTGTTTTTTATTTTCTCTCTGCTGAATGATTTAATAGCAGAGGTTTCACTATTTCATACGGGCAACAAATTCATCTGTCTAATTTTGACTTTGTTTATAGCTTGACTCCAAACCGAATTTTCGGTTCAAGTATGGAATTTTCAGCATGTGATACCAGTAGCCCGAATTTCGCAGGCCGACCATTGATTGATATCAGGTGTGCGTTGGTAAGGGATCGAACTCCGGACCATGTGCTTGGTTGGCGAGAGTCCTAACCACTGTGCCACCGACTCACAATGTGATTAATTTGAGTTGAATAATGAGACTCCTCAAAAGCATTTTGTTGAGATATACACCTAGCGAACTTAAATTTAGACTAATTAATAAAGTAGTCATTTGACTTTATATCACACTTTAGCTGTGTCGTGTTGGTGAAGTCTTTCATTTATATTATCCTGTATGTAAGTATTGCAAAAGTTACTTTTCCCGATGGTCATGAGGTTTGATTCCTTATATTCTTGATGAATTTTACGACGGGTTTTAATTTCTCAGGAGCATAATGATTGTAGTGAGTTGGCAGCACAGCGATAGAGTGCTTGCTGACCATCGGCAGACGTCCTCCTTTACCTGAATAAGCCAGTAATAAGACTGGTAAAGAAGGAAGGTTGGGTATGAGGCTACCAACTCCATGCTGTAAGAAAATAATCATCATTGCTACAAGCCTCTAGCTTGAAGCCTCCTATGTTCCGCTGGGAAGGTAGGGGATGACAAAAAAATGAATGTAATTGGCTGGCAAGTTCTTTTCTTACATATGATGTTATTCCTAATGCCTACAGTCAAGAACAAGGAAATTAATCTTAAGAATGGCTCAAGTAAACTTTGTTTATTACATGTTTCTGAATTCAGTGGAAAAACACTTGCTATTGTTGTTACTGAAGGGAAATATTGATCTGTATAGCTCACTGAAATTGACACTCTACTGACTGGGCTACATGAGGTATTCAGGTTATCATGCCTGCATATTAGATATATTACTATTATTCCCTTGCGTTATGAGTGAAACATAAGTCTTCAGGATCGCCTCTATATTTTAATCTGCTTCGTGCCGTTCTTTTTACCTGGGCTTCATCAACTGTTCATATGTTCTCATTTCCTCCTTAAATGATCTCTTCCATGTCATCGTAGGACGCCCAGCTTGTTTTTCTCTCATTTGAGTTCCACTCGACGGTCTGAGGTGCGATGTCACCCAACAGCTCCTTCCGTGTCTATACAGCCCATGTCTATTTCCTCTTGCATATTCGTCGAGGGACTAGTTTGTTACGTGCTGGAGTTTCCTATGCCATTTAGTGAAGTATATACAGTAAGCTGAATATTCGGAGATAATCTCCTGGGAGACCCCCTTCACACTTTTTACATAGCCACTTTTTTTCTGTGTGTATAGTGTGAAGTGTATTGGTGTATGCGTGTGCTCTAGGAGTATTTTATTTCGATATTTATCATGCCATTGTGAAGTTTGTATAGTCTTAGTATTTATGTCATATAACAGTTGATCGTTAGTGATGTATCATTTTTCATTGTCATATTTTGTTGTTTGTTTGTTTTTTCTTTCTCTTATAGACTTCACTTTTGATGGATTCAGTTTGGAATCTTGCCGAAGTATGATTGCTATGATGGATGTATCCTTTTGTGTTAAGTGCTAATTATTTTCACATCTTTATCTATCTAGTCCGCAGGTTGATATCTTAATAGAGATGAATATTTTTTTAATTTTCAAGTATTGGTTTTGTAGGGATTTTGTTTGATTGTGTGGAGGATTTCATCATGAGCTGACATCAGTTAGAGAACCACTGGAAAACCAGCCACAGGGAGTACTGGCCGGGCAGCTGTTTCGTCCTAGTCTGGGACTCTTCAGCAGCACGCACCCACCGCCGACCAGGTTAGAATCCAGGACCTTCTGGTTACAAAGTGAGCTCGTAGACCATTGAGCAGCCACTCGGACCCGATCCAATGGCCAGCCCGTGAATTCTAACTTCTGCCAATTCAAGACATAGCACAAACATTTCGCAATGTCTTCTTCGATGAGTTACTGCCTCATCTTCGACCTGCTGTACCCTACTGGTCACGGCTTCCCATCGAAGTACATGGATTCCAACTCCTTTTTAGCTGAATGTTCACCCAGGTTTTCCGGTGGTTCTCTAACTGATATATCAGCTCATGATGGATATTTTTTTAAGTCAATCGCCTGTGAGATTATCTCTTTTAATAATCCATGATCCAACAGCTGCATAATGAAATTTAGGCTGCCCAAATGAAATCGCCAAAAGTTGGGAAACGAATGAATAGTGGCTCTATTGTTTCACCTTTTTAGGCTCTTAGCGGAACATAGGAATTGAAATTTTGAGGATTCTGTGAAGATGGCGTTGCTAGGTTTCAAATGCAAATTTTCTCCTTTTTCGGCTGTACTACGGGCCAGTAAAACTAGGTGGTTTAGGACCTCGTTGACCAAGAATCGAACAATAGACCACGTGCATTGTTAGGCAAACATTTTACCGTTGACCAACCGATGCAAATAAAAGCTCTATGGAATGGTTCAGAGCTAGCTGACGTAACCCTGCCACACACACCTTGTTAGCTTGACCTCATCTTTCGTTATTTTTTTTATTACGGAAAATGCGAAACACATAGTTAATAAGGGTTAGTTAATTACGGATGTTACAGCACTATATTAGTCGATTCTCAGCCATTCTATATCAGATCAATAATAATAAGTAGAGGAGATTTCTCAGCCTGTTGATTCAAAAAGAGATCTGAAGCCTTTTGAATCTATTATTATGGAAAATTTTAGGCATTCATTTAGTTACAGTAAAGTAGTAGTCACTTTTCTGATCTAGTGAGAAATCGTCACCAGTTGGATCTGCTGAGTCAAGTAGAAGAGCAGTTAACCGGCAAAAACATTGGTATGCGGTTGGGCTATATGTATATGTCGAATTCATGAGCTATTGAATCAAGGCCCAAAGGCTTTTAATGGTCTACGAGCTCGTCTTGTAACCGCGAAGTCCTGGGTTCTAATGCTGCAGGACGCGTTCCGCTTAAGAGTCGTGAATTGAGACGAAACAGCTGTCTGGTACACCCTAATTTCCCAGTGATTCTCTAACTGACATAAGCTCACAATCAAGTCTGTAACCAACTCAATCCTGGCAAGCCAACACTTGTTAATAAAACGATTTAAACATCTAATTATCTGGCGTAAAGGTGTCTACTGTGTTAACTGAACCAAATGTTTCGTTGGCGAGCAGTGGTCTGTCATCACCTTATTCAGAAGTATTTACTTTACGGAATATGTGCTATCGAATATATCAGTCTTGTCTATGCTAGGACTCATTAATGAGAACCAACTTGCGGTCGAAAATTCTTGTGTATTCATGAAAGCACATTGCTGAAGAGATCTAAACTACGACAAATCAGCTATCCAGTATTATAAGCTTTTCAGTGGCCTCCTAACTGATATCTGTTATTGATGAAATCTTACCGAAGAAAACAAGAATTACTTGCTCCAATTGTGTTTTGACTCCGGTTGATGCTTCACATGTAATGATTATCCGAACCAGTTTTCATTTTCACACTATTATTCTAACTACTCATAAGTAGTATCAAGAAACAAATCTAAACATGTATATATGCGTAGCAGCGAAGAGGTGGTTAGATTGCCTTAGTCACCTAACCATCAGCTATTAGGCCTTTGGTTAAAATACCAATCAACCTTCTCCAGCCTAGGCAACTCAATAGTTTCTCCAGTGTGAAGATCACACGACAAACCAGAGAGGTTAAGCAACAAGAAACTGTGGCAACGAACCCAAACGACAAATTTACCCAAAGGAAAAGAGATGCATTGAACATATGCTAAGTAGACCGTTGATTGATATCACATGCCAGACAGGTGAGTAGGAGTCAACTGACAAACGACTAGTTGGTCATGCAGTATTGATATGCAGGAGATGGTGTTAAGAGGAAATGAAAGCTTATGGACGATTGTGGAGCCAGCTAGAAAAGACTGCATAGAACAGAGTGAGATAGAGACGTGTTATTATTGAATCCCTACTCTCCATCTGGAAGCCAAAGGATTATTAACAATAATTGTAATAATAATAATAATAATAATAGGCGGTATCGATGACAGTTGATTCGATTAAAGTTATGATTTACTTGCTATTTGCGTAATTTCACTGGCGTCGAAATATTATTTACAAATTGCTCACTTCTTAACCAAGTTTTTCATCATCTCTAGTTCGATCGATCTGGCATGTTAAGTTTCGGTGAATTCCGAAAGTTATGGGATCTTTTACGTGTATGGAAGGTAAGTTGTAACAATGTTTTTTTGTTTGTTTGGTATAACAGTTGGTCATCCATTTTTAATATTGTGATGAAAATGCCTGGCATAATTAGTATTCAACCCCGTATTCCAGTCAGTACATTTCAACTAGATTGTTCTAGATATAGTGTGTTGTTGGTTCAGGGGTAGAATAATCCGCCAGCCAGACACATGGTTTCGGTTCTCTGCCTGGTCAACACACTCTCAAACCTCGTCTGGCTGTTGGTAAGGTTCGTAAAGAGAGAAGGTTGGATCGTAAGGCAAGCAATACCATCTTGTAAAAACACTACAAACTCTACTGAAACTTCGAAGTCCTTGAAGCTTGAAGCCGTATGTTCTACTTGGAATGCATATCAATGACAAAGACCATTTATGATAGAGATATGTATGTGTGAGAGTGTTATTTTTGAACGATGAAAAAGGTTACATATGTTTCATTAAATATTTCAAAGAGTAAGAATTGGCAGGAATCTCTGTAACTAGACTTCGTGTTTGTCCATCCTTACCACACCATAAATGGTGTGTCTGTCTGCCACTATTTATGAGAAACTTTTACATTTCTCCTGGTGTCATTTTAAGTCACACAGTGTCAAAGTCACTAAGTTTTTCACTTGATGAATTAAATCTATGTGAATCTGTTGCTAAATTGCAATCGGTTTAACTTTCGACCGATTCGCCTCACTTGATTGACAACTCACGTCATTTCGCACTTAAGACTATTAGTATTTTATTTAGCACAATGACCGTATTACATACCTGATCGACAGAATTATACAGAAAGAGCGGTTCTTTCATGGAGATTAATCCATCTACATGAATCCTTCATAAAATAAGTCAGTCTCTATACACTTAGAATACATCTAAACAACTAAAAACCACACTACAAGAATAGTCAATGAAATGATAAACCAATATCAGGTTTACTTTGGTTGGACACTAGTAACTAGTGTGATGTGTCTAGTCCTTTCTTTGGTGCAGACTGAATTCTATCAGTCAGTCAGGTTTGCAATCTGGCCATCACGGTGCACATTGATTTGATGATAATCGGCCACAGGAAGCCTTGGACCTTGGACTGCAGCACTGGGTAACGCCGGTTCGGTTCTCAGAATGGAAGTGAGTTCCTTCAGGGCTGCAGATACGCCTTGCTGACGAGTGCCAACCTGCCGATTGCCTCCATCCCTCTAATAATATCAAGTTTAATTCTAAACACCCTTTAGTATTGTGACAACTATAATCCCAACCTTACTGCATAGTAGATTTGTATAGACAATGTGTGGAATAGACTGACCGAATAAATAATTACTCAACGCATTACTCTGCACAGAAGTACATCAATTTAATTCGCCACTTTTCTTTTATACGCATGTAAAAATAAATAAAGAAGAGTAGTGCCCAATGATCTGCTTAATTTATATTGGTTTGTGATGACAGTAATGACAATTGTAACGAATCCATAAATTTTCACAAATCCCATCATGTGAATATTAACTGCCAATCCTTTGATGGCTTTTGAATGAACTTCGTGAAGCTGTAGTGAGACATTGTGATCAGTAGGATTCACTAGTGTCAAGGTGATTAAATGGATGCCCATCGAAGGCAGTAATGAAGTCAGTGCTACATCACAAGTTGACAAAGTTCGAATTCTGGGCTCACTGAATGCTCAATGAGTTCGACTTCACAACCTGAAAGTTCAGGGTTCGGTCCGTAGTAGGGTCGGGGTGTCTACTGATGAACAGCCTCGGACTAGGAGGAAACAACTGTCCGTGCTTCTTGAATTTCAAGTTTCTCATGTCATTTCGTGCCGAAAATCTAACAGATTCAAAACAATGATTATTGAAAAACAGTAAAGTGAATCAAATGAATGAAGACAGTTAAGTTAAGATTTAATGAAAACATCCACAGTTTTTTTTAAATAAAAGTCTTCAACTGTTTTCCTAGAGTTCAGAAACAATCGAGTCAACTGACTTTCAGGTTTGAACACGGAACGATATCAATTAGAGAACTATTGAAGCCCAGCAGGCAGTACTGCATGTCTATTTTTGACTCATTACCAGAACGCTTCCACACTACCAGGTTTCGAACCAAGGCAAGCTCGTATACCATTCAATCTGTAGTCTAACCTGAAACAAATAAAATCCCTACCAATCAACTGGCTTTGTTAGCATTTGTTTCATAAGCAGACATTCCAGTTTGAGTCTGAAAGTTCCAATGGCCGTGGTATTACTTTGTACTTCACATAGCCTAACCTTCCCTGTTTATCAAGCCTATTACCATTTAAGTGAGGTTTAGTAGTAGTGTGTCAGCCGTGAATTTAATCCCTGACCAAGGGCGTAGTCGATGACTGTTCTACCGCTGGACCGGCGACAATCCCTAGCAAGGCACTTTTAAACACCTCACTTAGTCCGTAGTAAGGCTACCTGGTAGAGAGAGAAGGTTGGACATGAAGTTAGTAACCCCACTCTGTAAAACAAAACACTACTGATACCGAGACTTTAAAGCGCTAATGCTTGAAGCTTGTTTTAAACTGGTGGGTGGTGACCAGCAATGGAATCTAGGATGTATGTTCCGTCCTATCTGGGGCTTGTCATCTGGATGTGTTTGCATTCCCCAATGAGTGATGGCGATCCTTCTGAGGCTTGAATCCAGTACCTATCGTTTCAAATACTCTTGATCATTATGGCCGAAAAAGTCACCTCCTGTACACTGGATGTCAGTAGTTATTTATTTCTAATTCAAGCTTGATTTTTCCATTGATTAATTGGACCAAAATGTCCAGCCAGTGTTGACATTTTGACTCTTATGAAGAGGATACTTATACGAAGAAAGTGTCGTTACTAGTTTGGCAATAAGTTTCTAGACATTAACTAATTGTGAAGTAAGTTTTATTTAAACTCGTTTCTGGCATTCGCCTCTCTCTCTTCACATGACATCCTCGTTAAATATGTGGTATAGTCAAATGTTTTATATTTATTAACTGTACAAGCATAGATTCGAATGATATGTCTTCCGGTTTCGCCTGTAAAGATACAGAGAGATATAGATAGTTGCGAATAATGACGAGGTTCAATATCCGAGAAGACGACTTTAGTCGATTGCTTACAAGCATTAATATGCCTTACAGTAGCACCATCAGTTAGTTGAGTCAAAGATATATCAAGAACCCCTGCTTAGAGCTTTTGAAATCAAGGCAAGACAAAGGGAAAACATTAAAGAAGAATGGGTAGAATATATATGCATTAATGCATTGTAAAAGGTTGAGTTATGCCGCAAAAGCCTCAACTTCTTTATGTAATTAGTTAAATGAAAGATTTTGTTTCAGAAATTATAACAAGGATGATCAAAAAAAAAAGATTTTGAATAGAAAGTGATATCAAGATTGGTAATGTTCAACTTATTTCCTATTATAGTGCTATTGAAACTACAAGAATCATGCGACTGAATCAGCTCATGCAATTCGTGTTCACGCCTAAAACCAAAATCAACAGTCCTACTTATTTAGAGAGGTTCAGCTTTAGAGCATTGGCGCATTAGTTAGTAAGCCACATAAGTTGTTTAAGGATTCACCATAATTCATGGTTTTTGCCAACATACGACACAGTGATGAGTTTAAGTTCATCCACTCACATCTTCATCAAAAGATTAAGAATCCTGATTGTTACAGTGAACAATATATATGTAGTTTAAACTAAATTTTCTATAGTTGGTTTGTAAGGATTAGTTTTGTTTTTGCGAGTTGATCACCAATTGATATCAGTTAGAGAACCATTAAAAGCCAACCACACGGAGTAGTGGACAGCTGCTTTATCCTTGTTTTTGTTGGTAATCATCGGTAGTACGCACCCATTGCCAGGGTTCGAACCCAGGACCTTCCTGTTACAAGGCAAGCTGACTCGTATACCATTCAGCCACTGTGACCCGATCCGATTCAATGGCCAACCCATGAATTCCAACTTCTATCAATTCGTGATTTAGCGTGACCCCAACCAATGTCATCGATGGGATATCCATCCTCACACTTGACTGGATGCACCTCACTGGTCATGACTTTTTTGAAGAAATCCTAATACTCAATGTATATTTTGTGGACAGTATTTCTCTTTATATTGTATATTAATTTATCTGATGATATTTGAATGAATATTTAATAGAAAAATAAACTTTATTCCAATTTTTTCAAAACAAAACAAAAATTTAATTTTGAATTTTAGTCTGCATTTAGACAATTTGATGCAGATAAAAGTGGTTCAATGAATTCAATTGAATTAAGAAATGCACTGAAACATGTTGGTAAGTTAAAATAGAACTTAAATAATCATTGTAAATATGTAAGTTTATTCGATTATTTTTATTACAATTTTAAATATGGCGGGAATTTTTGAAATTTCCAGTCATATAAAAACTGAATACTGAATTTGATGTGTAATCGTTGAACAAAACTGCTAGATGAGTTACATGACAATCTGGCCACAGGGTAGAAACTAAAATGAACACTTTTGTTGGTGTGTAGCTTCTTAGTTAATTCAAAGCTTATTCGATACCTTATTCTTTCTTCTCCTCTCGTCATCTCTAGTGTTATTGTTCAGTTAAGGTTGTAACGACAGAAGATAAGGGCCATTTCTTCAGAAAATCAACAGATATATATAGATTTTTATGTACATTATTATCAGCGTTATTGTTAGCAGAGAAGCAACGTCTTCGGATTGGTTGTTTTGCTTGCTGAAGGTTATTCTGTTATCTCTTTATGGCCGTTTCTACTAATCGTATCCGCCCACGCTAAGTCTGCTGTGATTGGTTGTTTAGTTGTTCAAGGTTAAGCTTTGTTATTGTTCTTTCTCATGACCAAGATTTGCGGTGTAAACATTGACGGAAATTGCTGTCTACCAATTTTGGCTAACAGACAGCTCTCACCATAAAGTAACCCTGATAGTTATTCAAGACTTAAAAATGTAGATAACTGAGTGTTAACCAGATGAGAATCCTGTGAGGATAATGGTAATCTCAACGTGTTCTTGCGAATAGTATAATCAACATCTGAACAGACATTCAATATGTATAAAACAACGATAATAAGCCATTAAAACGGCTTAGCATAACATTCGAATTCAATACAGCTTATCTGTAAAACTGTAATACGAAATCATGTATAACAAAATATCTTAGGGAGTTCAAAATGTAATTGACATCCTCTACTCTGTCAAATCAATGAGGCGAAAAAGAAGGATATATGAATTTGTTTTGGCTAATACCACCCACACAACCACTTGGAATGAGATTTTCACTGCGTTACACACCACTATCATAAAAGAAAGAGATAGTAGCAGAAATTAAAAGGAATACATATGACCGGCCAAATTAAACTTTAAGCACCACTAACTACCAATGGAGTGTGACCGCACCAATGACCTTGGAAAAGTCACTGAGCAAGTTAGTGAACTCCAGAAAATAATGTTGCCATCATCAATAAAATATTTTAATCGAAGTGTTATGCTATTTAATGGAATATCTGACAAGTTTCAGCTTAGGTTTAAGAAAGATTATGTTACTCTTTAAGCCAAGGACAATTTATTATTACTATTATTATTATATCCTTTAATTCCTAGAGGAACATAGGGCTTCAGCTATGCATCTCCATTGCCTTCGGTTCTCTGCCAACTTTTTCATCCCGCCCCAAATCTCACACATGCTTTCATCTCCTCTTCACATGACCTCCTCCAAGTACCCTTGCACTGACGACCAACTCGCCGCTTCCCTTTCGGGTTCCACTCAAGCAATGGATTGTCTAGTGATGTCACTTGATGGTTTGTTTCCTTATAGTATGGCCAATTCATCTCCATTTCTTCCTGCTTATTTGTTGCACAATCGGTTCCTGCTGGGTTGGTTCGCTCATTTCCAGAGATCCCTGTTTCTGATCTTTTCTGGCCGGCCATCTGATCTTGAGTGGTATTGAGCGAAGACAACTGTTAATGAAGGTCTGAAGTTTGTTTGAGATGCTCCTTATGACGCGCCAAGTCTCTGCTCCGTATAGTAAGTGGCACTGACTTCACATTGGAGTTGAAAATTCGGATCTTATTTTTGATGCTGAGTGATTTTTACCTCCACACAGACTTGAGAGTAATGAAAGCTTGTCTTGCTTTTCTGATTCTAGCTTTGATATCCTCGTCAGTTCCGTCTGCTTGTAGTTAAAACGATGCTTCCCAGGTAGGTAGGTGAAGGAGGTTGTTTCTAAGGACAATTTAGGATTAAGCTAACCTGACAAAGGCGACACTAGGCTTGGTTCGAGTTGGATTACAGTTAGTTAGGGTTAAGTTCAGGAAAGATTAGGGTTAATGTCAGGGTTAGAAGACTTAAATAATTAGATGCATAGACTGTGGTTTTAATTTCTCTGTTGAAATAAGAATAGAACTTGTACACTGTGGTAGGGTATAATTCCATTGTGATTAAAATTTATTTCGATAAAGTCTCAGGATGTTATACAGTAGTAATATTTACTGATGACGTTTTGAGTACAATCTACAAATTTGGTTTTCTTGTGATTTTAAAAAAATTTCCCAAGAATTATACTTTTATATTAACCTAAAAGAAAATTTTTCAATTTAGAGAGGTCTTTAATTTTAATTTTTTTTTTTTTTTAAAATATTGTTTTTCATAAAAAAAAAACTTTTCGTGGTTTTGGGCTGGTTGGTTTTGTGTTAAATTTAATTTTTAAAAAAAATTTTAAAAAAATTTTAAAGCACCCCCCCTTTTTAAATTTCCCCCCAAAAAAAAAAAAAAAAAAAAAAATAAATTAAAAAAAAAACAAATATAATCTTAAATTATTTTTGAAAAAAAAATTTTAAAAAAAAAGGGATTTGGCCAACAACCGTGTGAATTAAAGAGGTGTGTGTGTGTGTATATATATATATTAACGGCCCAAAGGAAGACCGCAAAACAAGAAAGTTTGTGTGTACAGGTTGAAACAAAAAACAGACTAATCACTGAATGGCTCTTAATATTCAATCAAACCACTTAATATGCTGCTTCCAAGGTTGTTCCCCAGGGGCATCGTTTAATCAAAAGCATAGGTTGAGGATGTCATACAAAATAGAAGACATACAAGCGAGCGAAAACCGACTGACACACTGGTCGAAGAAGCAGCCAGTGAAGACAGGACTTCAAGTGAACATAGACAAGACGGAGGTTATGAAAATAATCAACCAACCAACCACAACAGCAGCAACATCCACCGCCAATCACCATCAACGAGATGTTACTTCATTCATTCACTTATCATCTAGGCAGCATTGTCTCAACTACAGACAGTCGAAACAGACAAGGATGTCAAATCGATCGAGAATCGGGAAGGCGAGCGAGAAACACATTCATTCATCAACCAACTGAAACCAATCTGGAAATCTTCGTCACTTAACTCAGCATCAACAACTAAATTCAGTCGGATTTTCAATACAAACAACGTTAAGTCAGTCAGTTCTTCTATACGGATCAGAAACTTGGCGGGCGGGTCACAAAGAATATTACCAACAGTCTGTTGCAGACCTTTATCAATCAACAACTGTCTTCGCTTGATCTATACTGAAGGTCAATCAGATGGCCAGACGGAAAGGATCACCAACTATGGGAAACTATGGGAACAAACAAAACAAGAACAAACCGATCGCTTAACAGCAGCAAATATGCAGGAGAAAGTGGATTGAGATGGATTGCACACTACTAGCTGAGGAAGCCGGGCCGCTGGGTGACATCGCTCGCGCGTCAGGCCATCGCTCGAGTGGAACCAGGCCAAAAGGGAAGCACGCAGCGAGTGGGACGTCAGTGCAAGGGTGACATAGAGGAGATCGTGTGAAGAGGAGTTGAAACACAGTATAGACTAACTAACATGGATGCAGATGAAAAGTACAGCAGAAGACAGAAGCAAGTGGCAAGTGGAGACGTGCAGTTGAAGCCCTATGTTCGTTCCACTAGGAACCCAAGGGAAAAAATTAATAATATAATAATAATAATAATAATAGCTTGGGGATCAACTGATTTTCAATTTAAGAATTTCGATATGCACCTATTCTGTACTAATTCAAGGTACTGCTATAGTTCAGAAAAAACATAAGTTTCACCTCTACCTCTGTAACATCAAGCCTCTTCATAAATGGTAATAATTTAAAGGCTTATTTGAAAATAATACTGACAGTAGGTACGTCTGGGTTCGATTCTCAACTGACACCTGTTTAAACCTTAACTACTTTGCTGGTCACAAATCAGCGTGAAAAAGAAAGAAGGTTGACAGTGAGGCTTGATAATCCATGTTCCTCTCAGAACGGAAGAAGTAAAAATAAGTTGTCAAATATCCAGACCACATAGATCCTTGACCTATCGCTTGTTTCAGTAGACTAAGACCAATACGTGGAATACTATGTAAGGTAACCAACGCGGAACGACAGAAAACGAGTGGACAGTACGCTTGTTTATTCTTCAACCGATAACGAAACAGGAATAAAATTGTCTCCCAGTACTCCAATGTCTGTAAATAAACGTTAATACAATGTACAACAATACTTCTGACCGTATTTCTCCAATCTTCTGTCAACCAGTATACAAATAAGTAATGGTGTAATAACAGAACACAAGGACCAGGCAACAGATCGTTTATTTACGAAATCAACACATATTTATAGATTTACATGTACATTATCATAGATTATTTTAAGAAAATAAACACAGTTTTCTGATTGGTGGTTTCTTGCAGAACGTTAATCTTTCATCTCTTTGTGGTTGTTTCTTGAATGTCAAATCATCTATCTGCGAATTGTATCCATCTACGCAAAATCTTCTGTGATTGGTTGTTGAGTCAGTCTTTGTTCCTACATTTTTTTTCTCATGACCAATATATTGGGGACACAAACGCTGACGTAAATTACTGTCTACCAAGTTTGGCTAGCAGCCAGCTCTCACCACAATGGTAGCCTTCTTGCATCCCACCAAAATGGAGACCAGTTTCTTTGAATAAACAAACGATTTAATGTTCAGCAGCATTCGCATGAATCATAATGCTTTAAAGTGAATTCAGCACTATCTAGTTGATAGCTACTCATTAGTATGACAGTAACTAATTCACCTCAGAGAGATGGCTTATTTACTAGTGCATGATATGGCTATTTGAATAGCCCTCACGCCAAGTAGTATGTAGTATCCTTCATGCATTTATTCCCCTTGATGAATTTGAATAAAGCAAGAACAACAGCTGGTGGTTTGTGCAGAATAATATGGTACCATCATTGTTTATTTCGTTGGCTTCTCGTCAGCTGCTTACAGCCTAAATAAATTTTGAGGTTTAAGTATAGAAACGTTTTAACATACTTGCAAATTTTACATGTTGTCAGTTGACAGAAAGTTCCACAATTAGTAAACAGTGCTCCGAAGATTGCGCTTATATAGTTTTTACACAAAATAAATGTATGCATATAATGGTAAGGGAGTTACATAATAATGATGAGATATCCGTTAGATGCATGGTGACTAATAAGTTAGATAACAATGTACTGAGTTGAACTCAAATCATAGAAACAAGAGACAAGCAAAATTACAGATTATAAAAGGGAGGGTGAGGTTAAAGACAAAGATTACGTAATCAGATGAGAGAAAGAAAGACATCCAGTTACCAAGGCAAGGAAAGACTAATAAATGCTTCTTTCTGAACACATAAATCTGGTTCCAAGCGTATGATAGAAATTGCTTCGGCAAACTTGAGGAGAATGGAACTCCTTTGTCTATTGATAATTTTGAAGGATTTCTCGATTTCCACCTGATAACCTGTGTCGAGGAGATGTCTGGTAATAGTGTTACTATAACAGTTTGCTCGCTTGAGACGTAGGCTTTTCGGCACATGTTCAGAAAATCGGAGGTGTGCCCTCCTTTCTGTTCTCCCAATGTAACTGCTCCCGCAGATACACGTAAATCTGTATATACAGTTGGAGTGCTCGCTAGCACCAACATGACTGAATTGATCTAAATACTGAATGGTGGTTTCGTTCGTTTGTGGTGACCAAGGTTATCATTCGCCTACCCGGTTTGACTCAACTTACACACGTAAATCAATGTTCAAATCATATGAGTGCTGACTGGCTATTTGGCGTGAACTGTGATAACAATTCATTACATAAAATTAGCAATTGCATATTAATTAATCAATTAATTAATTCTCTATTCGTAATTTACACACAGTTCGGGGAAGTGAGATTTCGCCATTATTTTCTTTAGAAACTAAATTATTCAGATCATTACATGTGATCTGCTTGATATTATAATTGGTAATCAAGACAGTAAACATATTTGCATAAAACTGCATACTACTGACTTGCTGAAATGAGTCGTCCCATGTCAGGCAGCCTCCTATTGGATTATGACTCTGACCAGTGATCGTTTCACTTTTTTCTTCAAAAGTGAATTCAACTCAGCATTTGTAAATTTCTGCAGATATTTTACAACATAAATATTTTTTTTCTAATTGTTATATTTAGGTTTCTCGATTAATAATGCAATATTCGCTACACTGGTTATGCGTTTTGCACGTCGTGATGGAAGTATACCATTCGATAGTTATGTGATATGTTGTGCACGACTTCAAACATTATTTGAAGTTTTCAAGGCAACACCGAAAAATGAACAATCTCAGGCATTGTTTAGTGAAAGTGAGGTAAGTTAATCAGTGGCTATTTTCATGATGTTTTAAGTGAATATTATGCACTTAGAAGTACTATTGAAATAACAGTCAACCAAATTGTAAGGCTTTATCAGTCAAGGTTGTCAAGACGCATGCTAATCTATCAGTTTCATAGACAAACAATGTTATCTAAAGTAGAATTAGGTTGGTAAATAGTGGGATTAAACGAGTATTTCAACTCTAGCAAAACAACAGCCCAAAATATCCATTTACTTGACTTTTTAGAAACTCTAGGAGGTTTGAATAACTTCAGAAAAAGCGGGTCCTTATTGATTGGAAGACATTTTATACGACAACTCAAAACGGTCTACAATGATACAGTTGTAATAGCTATTTTATCATATCAGTGAAATTATTCTATCTTCTTCGTCACACCTACATTTCCCTGCTGTACTAGAAGGCCGCCTGGATAGTGAATAGGGTATTACGCTAACTTCGACTTCTGTGTCCCCCGGGAATAGTGTGTCTGTAGTTCTATACCTCACATAGAACAGACGACTTGAGTGATTGCCAGTAACTGGCGTTGTGGTCCCTGGCTGGCTGGACATTTTCCCTGAGCCGAGTCACTACTCCTGAAATTGCATCATTTTACACACCGAATGGCTCGATTTCCAAACATTCTGTGATACCAACAAATATTTCGAACATTAGATGTCCTGCGCGTTGACGTTGCCTTAATGTGGCATGTAGGCTGGACATCTCAGTTTCTATCTCCATTTTATTTAATAGTGCCGAAAAAGCTGATAATACCGGTGTGTCCTCAGTAGATACAACTTGAACTGGTGACTGATTACGTGTTGATGCATCGAAGAAACTGATGTCACGCTATTCGTCTAGGATTTTATCTGCAGGCTCACTTAGTTCATATAGGACGACGGATTAATAGGGGATAGTCGGAATTTCTTTGACATTTCGTCGTGGCCATCGAAGCCACATTTGTCGTAAAACCACTTTGTCGACCTTATCTGGGTTAATTAGTTGACGCATATGCCCGAGGAGCTCAGACGGCGTCCTGGAACCTAACTCACATGCCGTGAGAAAATGATGAATTTTTTACCTCATCTGAGACACCAATCCTCTGAATCAAAAGTGCCTCAAGTCAGTCATACTGGTGGTCTGTAGGAGCACTGTAAATTACGTCTGTAAGATCTTTTAGTACATCTGTAGGCAGTACAGCCAAGATGTATCCGTATATAACAATTTTTCACTTGATACGTCGCGCATCAAAGAGGGCCTAAATGGCAGTGAACGAAATTCTTCTAGGCTTGGTAAAACAAATATGGAGGCAGCCAATACGCCACAGTTTTCAAGGGTTCTTTGAGTGATATAGATTCGTGATTTTATCTATCTTGAAATTCGAGGTTTTTTTTTAAAGATTTACTCCACACCAAATTTTTGGTATCGATAGCCTAAATTTTGCAGGCCGACCATAGATATCAGAGGATCGAACCCCGGACTATGTGCATGGTTGGCGAGAGTCCCAACCACTGTGCCACCGACGCACAATGAAAAGCATTTGATACGACTGCTACCAAGAGTTGGAACATCTTTAGAAACTCAATCATGCAATCAATATTCATCCTAATAGACTTATGATGGAAATATTGAAGTAGACATAATTTGCCACCCAGTAGATGAAGTCAGTGTACACTCTTTTGTCGGTGGGATTATAATGGAATACTAGCCGATAGTACTAAATAAACCAGCTTCTCTAGAGATTGTGCCACTTAGATTATATAAATGGTTGATTACTGTAGCCAGAAGTAATGAATATTCTGTGATCTTACTCATCGGCGATTAACCTCTGATGAAAACATTTTAAATGAATTTTAGATTTTCCCGTCGATTGATTGTACCGAAATGCTCGGTCTCAGGCTGACATGACAGCTTCTTGTGCAGATGCTTAGACAATGTCTGGGCATATAATTAGAGGCTAATTGGTGGATGGTGACTAGCAGTGGGATCCAGGATAATGTGCATTTCGTCCTATCTGGGACTCGTCAGCTGGATAACGCTTTGGCGTTTGAAACTATGGGTACTGGGTTCGAGCCTCGGTGGGAACACTATCACTCACTGCAGAATGCAGATACATCCAGATGGCGAGTCCCAAATAAGATGAAATGCGAATCCTAGATTCCACTGCTAGTCCACCATCCACCAATTAATCTGATGAAAACAGTTTAATACTAAAATGAGTCTTTATTAGTTGAATCAATTACCAGGATTTCACTTTAGTGCATATGGTATACTAAAGTTTGTTTCAGTCAATCGGTCAGCATAAAAACAAATGCTCATCATGTAATTAGTCAGTAGTTCCTAGCCAAACTAGGTTGAGTCAGATGATGTAAGTGAAAGTTCTTTCAAACAGTTTGTTGTTCCTAACAAGTAAAGAAAGATATTCTTACTAACTCTAACTCCTCGATAACTCATTTATCTTTCTATGCTTTTTTTCTCCCCCTTTTGTCCATCTGAAATAGTTTGTCAACACTGTCCTCTACATGTGAGAAATACACCAAGGAGTGAATATTTTCGAGCTAACTGAAGTCACTACTTTATATTTTATTCTCTTTCTCCGCTTAATAGCAAGATATTGTCATTGTTGATGTTATTATCAATATTATTATTATTATTAAAAAATCACTTCAAATATTACTACCCAATGATGAAATATTTTCTATCTCATTCTTCAATATAAACTGAGAACTAATTATTAAAACAAAGGCAGATGATACAACTTGCGGTTATATGAATATTATGAATACTATTCAATTCAATAAAAAAGAGAATCATGTTTTCATAAACGCTTTTCATTTTTAAGAGTTTTGCTTAACCTTTATATACTTTTCATTTAATAACTGCTTAGAGATATTTACATACATTTCTGCTATTTATTACAATACTCAGTGGGTAAACAGAATTTCAGATTATTGTGTTTTTTTCCTTTTTCCGTGTTCAATGTTTCAATGTACAAGTTTCGTCCATCGCATTGATATTTGAACATACAGAGACAGGCATAAACGCACTTGTTTATACGTATTTAAGCTTTTTTTGGTATAATACTCAATATACATATATATGTGTGTTATTTGCTTTTCATAAAAATTATATGAATAGAAATTCCAGTATAATCACGTAAAACGCTTTTGAATACAATAAATTAAATTTGTAAGCGTGACTATTTGTTTTTCCCGCTTTTTCCATGATGAACATTGAAAAAAAGCATTTTTGTTGTTGATATTGAAGATTTTTAATGTTAGTTCTGTCTTTTCTTTTTGTTCCATTTGGGGAATTTTGCAGTTTTGTCCAGTTTAAGTATTTTGTGAAGAAATTCTTTTGCTTTTTGTTTTGATTAAACACTTCGACTTCAAGTGTTAGATTATAGAGGCGATGAGAATTGTTTATCTCCTATCCCATTCGAAGTGATTTCGCATTTTCACAAATTACTGAGCTCATATTTATCTTTTAGTTCACTATTACCAAATTCTAATTTCTTGAATAATTGTTACATGTGTTTTCCATTAATATCAAAACAAACCTCTGAGGAGGAACGCTTTTTACTAGTCAACTGTTTGAAATGAATCGTCCACTTGAGGTCGAACAATGAACTGCAAACTTATTCGTGGGTAGGATTCTGAGAATTTCACTAACAGTCAAAAGATGAGATTTTATGCGTATAAGTGGTCACCTGCTTGTTTTGTTGAAGCTGTGATGCAAGTTTCCCACTGAATGGTTTCATTAGACCAAAATGCTCAGTCGCTTTGTGATACGTTGAGTCGTGGCATGGAGAACTCGACGATGCTTGAAGGTTCTTTTAACGTTATTCGATTAATGGTGTTTAATAGTTAGATCCAGGGGGATGTAGTCACTTCAAAATGGTGAGCTACAAATGGGACGAAATGCGTTTTGGCCGCTTACTACCATTAACTAAGTAACACTGGGTACAGTATTTTACTTTGTTCCGGGTATCTCAGTCCATGGATGAACTTGCTCACTACTGTTATCGCATTTATTTAGTAAAATAATTCAATATATGCCGTAAGAGCCAGCAAAATACTCAAATCAGAATGCCTGCCTAACTTTGTCTCACCATCAGACTGAGTGACTTTGTCAGCCTTTGCTTCTGAGAGAAAACAATTTTTTATTACAGCTTGATTCCGCACTGTATTTTTGGTAAAAGTATGGAATTTTCAGCATGTGGTATCGTTAGACCAAATTTTGCAGGCCGACCATAGATATCGGGTGTGCGCCGGCTGGGGCTCGAACCCTGGACCATGTGCATAGTCGGCGAGAGTCCTAACCACTGTGAAACCGACGCACAGATGTTCAGGAAAATCATATGGTTAACACAGTTTTATTTGCTATGTACTATTGACTTTCGACACGAAAAGTTCGACGCCAGTCAAAGTAACCATCGGCGCTTACTAGTAAGTCAAGCTGAAGTGATTTGCACACCAGCTGGTAGTTTCGTTCGTTTACAGGCTGGCACACCAGCAATGTATTCGGTTTGACTTAGCTTAGAGTGAAGAATTGATTTAAATCATCTGATTTGTAGTTAGCCACTTGAGCCAGCTAACAATACGTCGAATTAGATTTCAATCGACCAGCTAAACAATTTGCGATCTCCAGTCTACACGGTTTCAATATAGTTACCGACGGACACCGATTTTATTCAGATCACAGTATTTGGTATGCTTAATGTTACAATCAATTTGCGAATCGTAAGTTTCATCCAGAGTTTCATTTGCAACTGATATTACTTACAGTTTACTCAGTCTCCTTGGAAAGTATTTAACAAGGTATGCTTCTGAATGACTTGTACGGATATTTCAGCTCGCCTGTAACCGAGGAAGTGTTCAGAAGGCTTCTGCTGCACACCTGCTTTCCCCTTCTGAAGATAATGAGTGGGATACGTAATCGAATAATCATGGTGATATTAGTAGTACCACAGTGATGGCAAAAATAACAAAAAGAGCAGCACTCTATTACAAGACAATCCTATCTACCTATTACGAAGGAATAAGTGATGCGAATGTCGCGATTTTACAGGTAGGCGGACAGGATATGGTGCTCTGAAAGCATTTACTTAGAGGCGTATATTAAAGTCAGTTGTGAAAGAAGCATTCTGACACCGCGATAGTTCATAAGTATGAATCATCAAGCTTTGTAGTACATAACGTGAGTGGAACGAAGTTAACAAAATCAGTTGCTCTATTTTAAGTGATGAATTTAAGACACTTCCTGTTTAAAAAGTAGTGACTGAATATGTGAATGATACAAGAATGAGTGTTTCTTACAGATTCCCTGGGAAATTAATATACACAAATGCCAGGGAACTGAGAGAAAGGAGTGAAAAGTAGCTATTACCAAGAGGAACATTAACTATCTGTGCATTAAGGAAAATACCTCGAAATACCACCAGAGCATTCAAACTAACAGAAACAAAATTTAAATAGCAGCAACGTAGTGTGGAGAAACAGGATTGTATTTAGTTATCTCAGTTCGATATGTTTATTTTAACTCTACCGTTGTATTTTGGTACCAGAAGGGTGGATTAAGATGAGATGTCACTCTAGAGAACCGTTTAGTGAGGCTGCTTGAACGAATTCAAGTTTGCTTTCAGTTGACTTTGACTAAGCGTAACTGTGATGATGAGTAACTCTGTGTGGCCACCTGTCCTGTGAGATCGGAGCTCTAGACACACTACCTGCCGACTCTTTAGCCCTGCGAATCTGGTGGCCAGGCTGTCAGTAATACCACCTAGCTAGAGGAGGGAGAACATGAGTCCCACAGCTATCCATAGGAAGGATTATGAGGACACGCAATCACACTAAGATGCCACTGCTAAGCTCTTGTTTCTTCAAAATTATATTGTCCACCATATGTTTCAGTCCGCAAGGATAAACAAGTTGATCGTTGACAGTAAAACCGCTGAGGTCCAAATGAGTTGACGAAATTACTTGAATTCTGATAACATGTTTCGAAAACTATTAAAATTAATAGTCGATTTGTTGATCACTGTTACAATCGGTTCAGCAGTGGGAATACGTCATCCTCCCGCTTGTGAGATATGAAGCCTTCAGAAGAGGTGGTTCCTCAAACTAAGTAGAAACTCTGCCGAGATTACTTTCATTCGACACTGGATAGCAACCAGCATCATGACCAAGTGGAAATTCGTAAAAGTGGGGGGGGCAGAATTTGCGAGGAACCAATAATTGCGAAAAATGATTAATCAGCATGATTGCGTGAATTCTACAAAAACTAGCGGAAAGTCGATGAAGTGTTTTATAAAATCTTTACGGAAATGAACATTATTCATAGACTACAAGAGTGATAACGAAGTAATAATGATGAAAATGGCGACTGTTAAAAGGGCCTACCTGCAATACTGGAGGGAGTCACTTCCCTTCTGAGAAATGAATCTGAGTCTCACAGCGATGCAGTTACATGCGTTGCTACCAAGATATTGGAGATTCAGTTTACCTTTCATTAAGCACTGGCTAATAACTCAGGAAAGTCAAATTTGAAACGTTGACAGTGGCCTTCTGTGAACGAAAAATTGACGGGGAAACGTCAACCATCACCTTTAAATTCACTGTTCACCTCCATGTAGCGAACTAAGCTTCAGTTTTCGACAAGTGAGAGGACCCAATCATCTAAGGAATATTTAATTTTGCAACTGATATTTCAGACTCTAGCTTAATTTCACAGTTCACTGGTTGTCTATCGAGAAAAGAAGAGACTTTTGTGTTGGGGCCGACGACTCCACCCCGAAAATCAAACCGATCGCCACAGAAACGTCAAATCACAGGAAAAATACAGGAAACAAACTTAATCTTCGTTGAAATCGGATATATGGAAAGACATGGGCCCGCGAAACCGTTGTGGAATTCAGTCAACCGATGTGACTTCTCTCGATGAAAGCAAAAGTGATGATGGACATATGGAGTCTTTTCACAACTCACGAGGCCAGGAAGGATGCTCAATTCGCCGAAGAAATGAGAATATATGACATAAAAGTGCCAATAATCCTTGAGAACAGCCAGAATGGATGTGGACTATCTAAATTGCCAGCTGGGGGTCAGTAATCTAACCCAGCCACCCAGATGATGGTCAGAAGCAAACTGAGAGAGCGGCTCCCGCGATGTCACCAACAGCGGCAAAATTATTTATGCGGTGGGAGCAAATCTCCCCCTGTAGAAGTATGACAGCGGGATTCAACTCAGAGAGATGGAAGGCAGGTTGCAGTCATCCAATGCTTTGCTTCGACAAAAAACTCATAAGAAGGGAAGATAGAAGATTCCTATCGACAACCGCTAGCGGCAGTGAGAAATGTAACAAATGGCGACGTAAAATACCTAATGAGCGATATGAATTCTAAGATGAGAGCAGGCAGTATAGGAAGAGAGTCCATCATGGATCAAGGGCTACACCTTATCTCAGAGCTGCTAAAGAAAGTGGAAATACAGCCTGCAGTCTGTTGGACACAAAGTGAAGAAGAGGGGCA